CCCCAAAACCCCAAAACCCCATCAGTCAAATAATTCCACTATTAATTTATGGCGGATCAAATTGTGAAAATATTAAATCATTATTGAATAAATGTATTCAGCAGCACAGTGTATAATCAAATAGTTGGAACTAATTTCTCTAATTTGAATATGTTTTGAGGCTTTATAATTTTTTGTCTTATGGGTTAAACCTGAGTTTAGAAAACTACTTTTTATGAATTCTTTAACTCATTGTAGTTTGCTAAGAGATTTTTTTCTTTTTCTTCTCTTTTATCCCAGTTCCACTTATAAACTTTAGTATAACTTAATCCAGTAGTTTTAGAGAGTTCTAATATTTTTGATTTCTCCCATCTATCATTTTTATCGAACTCATTTTATAATATTCTATACTAATCATCTGATAAAAGCATTATCTTGAGATTTCTGAAATATCTCTTCTTAGTTTAACGTTTAATATGATTTTACTTTAGAGGCTTTTTCATTAATTAGAGTTTTGATTTATTTTAAATTTCACAAGTGGATTCTTTTGCTTCCATATTTTCTTGCGAATAATTAGTTTGACTAGATATTACATTAGAATCATGCTACTGATTATATTCCATCAGATTTAATATACAATTATCACAGAAGCATGCTCTTTCAAATAACTGATAGCTTTGGCTGTAAGATGCCTATAATCATTCAGATCTTTGAAATAAAACTTGATTAGTTTCTTCATTTTAAGATGATATTTAGTTATTTTCTTTGTTTTCTTTTTTCATTATTATGCAGGATAAGTTTAAGCAGCTCTTACTATGTTAAAAATAATTCTCGTTTTCATTCCATTCATAATTATTATGAGCTGAAAATTGCTCTTATTTGAAAAATTCTAGATCTACAGGTTATTTTGTTAATTGGGTTTATACAAGTGTTGTCATTTGTCAATTATTACTTTAAACTTTTCTTATTGATAATTAAGAAATTTTCCTTTTAATAATATATCAGTAATCACATTAGAGTAAAATGATAATTGAATAGAAATCTGCAAGACTTATATAATAATTATCTTATTTATTTTTCACTCAAATTATATTTATCAAACCACAATCTAATTTTTAATTCAAAATTCATATCTATGGGGTTTTGGGGTTTTGGGGTTTTGGGG